GTAAATGAGTTTTCGGATGATTGAGCAGACTAATTATATATTCTTCCGACAACCCTGTCACCGTTTTTGCTGCCTGCGGAAAATGGCACTATTTTAGTCTTGGTCGGGACGACTCCAATCGTTGTGGACGATATACTGCAATCCGGTTACAAGTAATTGATATAACTGGGGTACTTAGTGTACAATTAGTCCTCTGTTGTTGCCTCAGCTGGTGGGGACTTTTTCAGATTTCAACCTTTTGGCCGTTTTTAATTTTAAAGTAATGAAAGTAAGACCTGTCAAGGCAGTTGCTACGCGTGCATCGCATGTTTTCGGGCAGTTTGTACCCCGATTTATTGTGCTTAATAGCGCCCGTCTATTAGTGTCTGATGCACAAAGGGGAGGAGGGCACAGGCCGTTTGTGATACACATCGATGAACTAACCACAGTCCCACCACAACCGTGTTCCTGATGACTTCATCTCAAGCCATCCAATCCACACTCGATGCGGCGAACCAACTGATGTGGTTCGGTTACATCTTACATCATCAATCCCGTGAAGTGTGCTCAACTCAGCGTCGCGTTACGTTACGTTTAGTCTGTTTTTCAGAAATTAAATTTGACCGAAATAGCCATGCCTGGAAATTGAATTGTTTGTTTTATTTTTCTAATATTTGACACTTTACTGTGTTACTTTTCATTTGTCTTCAGACTCAACATGCTATCTCGGCAAGACCTTAAAGTACATAGTATCAAAATTTAGGTATTCTACTTTTATTTTTAGTTCTGCACCTTCCGTGGTCTTACCCTAAAGTGCCGCAGTCACCCTTCCCGATTCCCATCCTACAAGGGCATCCTAACCACAGCCCAGCAACGCAATGAAGTAGTGGTTACCGGTATCCAGCCCACCGGCATACCCCACCTGGGAAACTATTTGGGCATGATAAAGCCCGTCGTAAAATTACAGTCGTCCGATTCCATTTCACGAATAATTATCCTCATTGCTGACCTGCATGCCCTCACCTGTCATCAGCCAGCTCTTCAACTGAATGCCTCGATTATAAACCTGGCTGCCGCGCTCTTATCCTGTGGCTTAGATCCAATGGAGAGCGTCGCCTCTTCCCAAGCCAAGAAAACCGTTCTCTTCTTGCAGTCTTCTGTTCCTGAACACTGTGTGCTGTCGTGGCTTTTATCCTCTACGTGCTCAGTAAATGTACGTGTTGACCATCTTTTTGTAAATTATGTTTTGGATGGCACCCGCGCCCCCTTCCACGGACCAGTAGAAAACATTCTGCAAAATACGCGCGTAACTTCAGTGGCCCTGCTCGAGAGTACTGATTGTGTAGTGAGGACCTAAGTTCTTAAGGCCAAAACCATAGCAGCTTAAGGACGATGTGCTCTTAGTCAGTTTGTATTTAGTATGGGTTGGTAACATTTTCCCGATCGTATTTTAACCCGTTGGCGTAGATACTTTCTGCCACTATACGTTCTTGAAATGGTATTCCAAACAGCCGACAGTATTTGACTCTTCCGGTTAAGTATAAATCAGTTCTCCACATATGCGCGGCTACATCAGGATTTGGCTATTTATACTTATGCTGAAGGTACTATGAACAAAACTACTAGTCTCGATGTAGAAAATGCGATCACTGGAACAATAATTGTATCTGCCTCACGTTTCGGGTTCTGCCTTGAACCCGTCATCGGAGATAACCGCAGAATAGAGTGAAGGATACACAGTTTGCGTAGTATTGATAATTTGTAGCGGCCACGTGAACGCATGCGCACTGAAATTAACAGCTCTAGTGGTCAGCGCTTGGGGTCATGGTTGATGCGACGATGGTTTGGCAGTCCGCTTCGGACTTCATCATCCGTGTTGGATGTTGGTTTGATAGTCAGGTTTGCTGTCATCGAAATTGTTGCTGGGCCGTGCCCTTCCCACATGACTGATTCTCCTGCTCAGACAAGGCTCAGTACGGAATATGGAAGTGGCAAGTCATTACGTTTGTTGATTGACTTCGGGTCTGAGAACCGTGACTCCAGCAGCTCGCGGTTGACGTGGTTGTCACCTTTTGCGATGATTTTGGCCTCGTTAAATTTGAAATTATGGCCGGGTCCCGTCGAGTGAGCTGCAACCTGGCTGCTAGCATCTTTCCTCCTCACTGCTGCTGCGTGCTTGGCCATTCGCGTCCGGAGTAGAATTCCCGTTTCGATGAGGTTGTTGCTTTGTCCACAGCTGCACTAGCTCCGGTGAACGACTCCAGCCGTTTTCTATCGTGGCACTGGGTCTTTCGACCTCGTGACACAGCGCCTGATAGATACTTCCGGCCTGTGTCAACCAGTGCATACGCAAACGAGAGAAGACGCTATACCGACGCGTTGAGAAGCATTGGAACGACATGGAAGATAAAGTTGCTGAATTAGAATATCTTCGACGGGTACTGAGAGTGAATGGCTGCCCGCGTAACTTCGTCAACCAGAGCATATTTGGAGCTTTGGCAGATTTGCTTAATTTGAGTTGACCCAATCGTGAAAACTTGAGGCGTTCGGCGCGATTTGAACCCGCGTAGTAGAGAAGGCTTTTACCGGAAGCCAACGCTCTA